CCGCACGCTCTCTTCCATCCTGTGTGCCTCTAATGCTGATCTGCTGAGCATGCCTAAACAGACACCAGAAATGCCGAGGTCCAGTGACCGGGCTTCTGCGTGTAACTTCTGCGCTCCGCCCGCCTGGCGGAGGTGAATTTTGGGTTTGGCTACCTCGTAGGCAGCAGGCCTGGATCCGTGGGCTTGGGGTTTGTAAGGGGCTCCCAGCCAAGGAGACATCGTGTTGATGGAGTCCCTTTTCCCCGTTGGCTTGGTGCAAGACTTTCTGAACGCAGCGACGCTGCTCTGAAAAGGTGCGTCTTCACCCTGTGACGTTTCATTTGTTCTAGCGGGGAATGAAAGATCTCCAAGCGATCAGCACGATGAGGAGGCACTTGAGCCCTGACTGCTTGTTCCTCAGCTTTCTGGTGAGTTTGACAACGGGGTTATTGTTTTGCGTAGTTGGATAGTTTGGCCAAGGATTAGCTGCTGCAAACATTCAAAGGCATTTTGCTAAAAGCCATCATTTTGAGCTCTGGGCATGAGTCCTGGACGAGTCGGTGGGAGTGTCACTGGCATAATGCACTCCTGAAAGAAAATGAATAAACCCGGCTGCAGGTTGGCTTCGTGCGGTCCTGTGTCATCGCCTTGGCAGTGATGATATCATCCGAAGACGGGGGGTGCTGGCCATGCTCTGGTAACTTCCATCTGCCACGGTATTTCCCTGGCAGTCTCAAAGGCTTTAATAAGTAGCACTTGGCTTTCTGCGCCTCAGCCTCGGATGGTGTTGCCTTGTACATGTCCTGAATGAGCCTCTGTGGTGGAGACAGTTTGGTAGGAGATGCCTTTCTGCAGGGTGTTGTGCCTGTTTTTCTAAAGACACACGTAACACCGAAAACTTGCTAGAACTGTGCAGCGTGAACAGAGAGCAAAATAGGAAACGCGCCCCTCTTGTTCGGCACCTAAAACATTGCTCCTGCAGCGTGGCGGTCTTTCTTCCAGGTTGGCAGCCTGTCCAGAAACCTCTCCGACTTTACAGCCCTGGCTGATAATCACACGACAAAAGGTTAGTGTTGTAATGAGTGCTCAGATCCATTGATACAAGTGAGATTCGGTGTCGAGGATTAATACGTGCAAAAGGGATGGGGCTGTAGAGCTTGCGTTAAAGGCCCGTCCCTTTTTCTTCTGTGGCTGCAACATGCATCCGTGTCTCTTGCATCCCAAATTGTTGTAGGTGTTGACACGAGCAGCTGTTTGGCTGACTCCCAGCCGAGTGGATGAACGGCAGGAAAGTGCCATCCACCTGCTCCTGTCTGTGGGCATGATGCACCTGTAGGTGCAAACACTGTGCACAGCTGCACCTTGCACCTGCAGATACAGACGCTGGGAGGGTGCTAAGCATGGACCTGCTGCTCTGTTCCTAATCCCCTGAAACAGCTGCAGTGAGCTGTCTTCAGACTTGCCCCTCGAGCATACAGCTGTGGTTTTATATCTATATCTATCTCTATCTATATCTAATATAGATATTAGATATAGATATATATCTAATATATAGATATATATATAGATATATCTGTATAGATATATATAGAGATACATATATATATATAAAACCACAGCTGTATACTTGAGGGGCAAGTTTGAAGACAGCTCATTGCAGCTGTTTTTATAGTGTGTGTGTGTGTGTGTGTGTGTGTGTGTGTGTGTGTGTGTGTGTGTGTGTGTGTGTGTGTGTGTGTGTGTGTGTGTGTGTGTGTGGGT